AGGTAGGGTATGAGGGGTATTATAGTGTGGATACTCGTAGTTGTAAATCTGATAATTTTAGCCATTATAAGACATAGGGAAAGGCGCAGTCAGGTATGAGTGGAAGACCATGGGTGACACTGAGATGTGTCATCACTATATTAGCATATAGTATCGATGAGGAGAGGTAGACGTATGTTATGTTCGTAGGTCACTCTTTCTCTGCACACTCTCTCTCTTTTATGCTATCTTAGGTATATTACGTGATTACCTATTAGTCGTAGTTAACAGTAGTATCTCTCTTCTTCTTTGGTCTTAGGGTACTATTCATATAGCTCTTTTCTCTCTTACTTTCTCTGTCATCTCTCTCTTCTGTGATTCGTATACACTCTAGACATGCAGACATCTGGTCTTGTCTGTCTCTCCTCCATTTCTGCATCCATCAGGTCGCTGACCGCGTCATCACAAATCTCTTCATCTGGTCCTGTCTCTTTCTATTCTCGTCTCTTATGTCTATGCTCGAGTCTATCTCTCTTTCCATAGGTCTGTCCTCTATCTCTCACTTTCTGCTATTCACTACATCTACTACATGTCTTACCATGTCCTTGACACATCCACTTACCATATTGTCTGACATCGATTGATCACATCGTCCCACTCACTCTATCCTGACACGCCAACATAGTCACTCACCTCAGTCCAGTCACTCACATTTCTGTCTCTCTTCTCCTATCTGTCCTTATCATGTCTGACCTCTTTCTCAGCTCGCCTATCATCTATTCACTCTTTCTGTCTGTCTTTACTTCTAATCTCTCTTATGTCTCGAGCTCTTACTATCTATCTTTCTTGATCTATTCTCCTGACTATTTCCTGTAATATGTGGTGTAGTAGTATTTTGTGTTAAACTAACACACACACGCTCAAAAGATATTCATGCACGAGACTATATACTTGAGTGTATGTTATATATTTTCTTGACATGTTCCATGACGATATGTGATTAGTACTATGTATGTGCGTGTTTCTCATAATGATTACAATATACTTCACCATATAACATACTCGACCTGGGTGTGTACTCACGTCCACAACCACTCACTCACAATTCCATCTTCGTTTCCGGTTACCTCATCATCATATGATGTACTGGAGTCCAGCACTCTGGGGTTCTACTTGTGATGAATAGGCCTTTGATATATGAAAATTCTATTCAAAAAATAAATATACTGTCTATTATCCTTGAGTAATACTAATGCTACTCACACTCACTATTACCTTGTTTATACACGCAACACGACACCCACAGACTCACAGCACGCCGGCACACAGACGACACGCCAAAGGCTCAGGCGAGCTTTTCGGCGTGAACCGCGGGGCACACACGAGGGAAATGGCCGCGCGTAAGTGGGACTGCTTCGGAGGCCCTTTTGAACTGGATCGTAACTATGTGGTATTCGGAGGCGGCGCGAGGGCGGAGCAATCGTGGTGTTCTCGTCCCAGTATCAACGACTACGAGAGGTGCGGTCCTCACCACAGGACACGTCGATCGCAGGGGCATCAGGGGGGTGGGTGGAGGTGGGAGGAGGATATGGTGGAGGGTGGGGAGAACGACGGGAAGAGGAGGAGGCCCGGGAGGTAGGGACAGCGTACAGCGCACATAAGAGTGTGAGAGTGTAGGGATGAGTGTGAGTGAGGTGCGAGTGATGTAGAGGTGGATGAGTCGGGAGGTGGAGTGTGTAGAGTAGTGGAGGTGGAGGTAGGCAGTGTATGGAGGTCCGGTGGGGTGGGATCGGGAATGGAGTGGGAGGGTGGTAGGGTGTGCTCGAGAGGAAGTACATAACATAATAATAATATATACATATATATTACTATTTATTATATCTATTAATAATATATATTAGTACTATTTAATAGTATCATAGTATTGAGGTATATAGGTACATAATAGTAAAGAGTAATTATGTATGTATATATATTATAAAGTGTATAATAAAAAGTAGTAGTATATATATTTTTTAGTATATATACTTATATATTTAATAGAGTATTTATAGGAATATATATACTAAACGTATTTGCTATATTTGAGGGCTAAGCTATATATATTATTTTATAATATATATTTTTATTTGGTAATTATTTATGACTAGTACTGCTGTATCGTGGGTTATCCTAGATCACATGTATAGTGAAGGTTATCGTATATATTGAGTATATTATATAAATTATAGTACTATAATTACATATAGTATTATAGTATACTACCTATGTTATGGTATATATTATAATACAATGATATGGAGGTAGTATATATATAGCATATACCTACTACATATATCATATTAGGATACATATACTACATACTCATATTTAAATAATAAATATATTAAAGATGGATATAGTATATAATGAACTTGTATAGCTATATATAGAGTATAACGTTAGTAAAGTATAATAACTAATAAGTATATATATATTATATATAATATGTATATTTAGCGCAGTAGTATATGAATATATA